GTTTTTTCTGTGCCTTGGATAGATGCCATATATGCAATATATGCACAAAACATTTGCGTAGTAGTCTGTGCTCTAAGAAGAAAGGCCCTTCCTGACCAGCTGGAAGCTTCAGGGTTAGGGAAAAGAAAATGGTGAGGTCAAGACAATGAAAACAAAAGAAGTCTGTCTGGTAAGAGGACAGTCAAGATTTCAAATGCTGCAGGCCTCAGAATACAACAGAGACATGAAATCAAGATTCCTCGAGTGTAACACACTTCTTCCCAGCTGCCTGGAAAGGCAAACACCCTACCTACCTGGAGCACTCACAGAGGCAACATCTGCTGTTTTTTACAGACAAGAAAGAACATTTTTGATGGAAGGAACTCATGATTCTTCAGGTGTCAAAACCCCAGGTCCAGAATGTACGAAAGGAAGAAAATAGTACATCCTGGAAGTGTAACAGGATGACTATTGCAAACCTCAGTTGCACTGACTTCTTTACAGGGATGACAAAGAAATGGGCTGATCTCAAACAACATTTCTTCAAGGGACATGAAGGACAGTAGGCAACAACAGTTCAGATGCCACAGGATCCATAAAGCCTACACAGCACGGGGACAGCAATCAGCAATTCCCTTCTCTTAGCTCCAGCTGACCTTTCAGTTCTGCACTTTGCAAGGTCCTATGTTCTCAAAATTTCTGACCACTCAAGTCCCCTTCCAAGCAGGTGTGTAACTCCAAATCACTCATGCTGTGTACTGGAGCCACCACAGCAGGGAAAGTCTTGATATGTGGGAATTCAGAAGATGGGAGTGAATCCAGTACTTTAAAGCTTTGATTATGGAAAATGACAACGAATCTCACATGCAATGATGCAAGCTGAAATGACAGTGCTCAGGTTCCTCCCCGCTTTACATTCAGAAGGAAAAAGTGGATAAGGTGAACAGGAAGCAGCATCACATTTCTGACAGACTGGGAGAGTTCAGGCAGGGAGGCAGGCAGGCAGGGAGGCAGGCAGGAAGGAAGACAGGCAGGAAGGAAGGAAGGAAGGAACTTATTGTGAACAACCATTGGGCACGTACGTATTTCAGCAGCTGAGCATCAGTGCAGGATGAGCAGAAAACTTACTGAGGAAGTAATTTCAACAGGTATCAAATGCTGAGATGATTTTCACTGGAGAACAAAGCTTTGTTCAAACACATTTTGCTAGCAGGAGAAATAATGGCCTGGTAATACATTCATGTAGCACTTTGCCCTACATGAAACTCACAGAGGAGCTTAGGGACCCAGCATCATCTTAAATGCAGGTATCATATAGTCCAAATCCAAAAATGCTTCTTCAGCTCAGCCCTTTGAGCACATTGCTGTCTGTGGATACTTTGCTCAGAATCACACAGCACTGCTCTACCACTTTGAGGACAGTCTCTTCCATGTTAACCCAAAGCAGGACTTGCATTGAGAAATCTCAAAATAACTTCTTCCTTCTCTGTGTAGTTATATAAGGCTTTTTTTGAAAAAAATGATCTTTCAACTCAGGCTTACAGTGATAACAGTATAATAATGGTGTTTCCAACAGTGTGCAGCTCTCGCCAAGAGACATTGGAAGATATTTTGTCAAATTAGTTCCTCAACATCAGTGGGTCTGGGAAAAAAAGCACAGATCAGGCCTGTGCCCTTCTATCCTAGTGGAGGCCGGAATAGCGTTTCTGCCAGTAATAGCCTCAATCAGGCAGTTATTGCTCCAAAGAAAAGTCTTCCTAAAACTGAAGACAAGACTTCAAACACACAATCATGTACTATTCTGGCTTTAAGATCCCCAGAACAGACTGGATGGTGTCTTGAATGAAGAAGAATGAAACAGTTTTAAGTCATTTTCTGCAATAGGAATAGAAAAGAACGCTATTGCGTTTTCAAAACGAGTTTAACTTTCTCTGCAGACAACAGAATACAAAACCACTTAAAATATCTGGTAAGTATTATATAATGCTTTTTAAAAAACTTCCCCTGCTTGCTCCAGTTTCAACTGGGGTATGAACTAAAGTCAGTGGAAGTCTTTTTGCTGACATCAATGGGCTCTGAATTAGGACCTCATTGCTTGTAACCCAGCTTGTGTGCTACATTAATTCAGAAATGGGTTTTAACAGCTTCTTTCACCTAACAATCTCCTGAGCTGTGGACTTAGAGACGGAGAGCTTTTTTCCCCCCTCTTTTTGGAGGACTTTTTAGAGGACAGTAAAGCACAGCCCAGCAATAGCTACAGTGTGACCTGCACTTTGCAAGTGGAATTTCCAGAAGGTATAAACTGCTTTTCAGAGAAAAAATGTTCTCCAAGTGTTCCCCAAAACAAAAAACCACTTACAGAAACCTATTCCAGTAACAACCTGGATTAGGAACATATAAATCATAATAAAAATAGGAGTGGACACAGTGTGAAGAAACCAGGAAAGGGGATAGAACCAGTTTTGGAGAACAACTGACATACAAACAGCTTTACAGACTGCACTGCAGTTGAGAAATAACATCTTAACCTCGGTACTTTTAAGCAGGTATTTTCAACAGACACACACTCCAACTTGGTGTAAATGAAGCAATAAGGGGAAGGAATACTGCTGTCATCCTGTCACTTCACTGTCCCCCCGCTCTGGAATCATACAATTAACACAGCTTTGCTGTACAAGGGAACGTTCTTATGAATTGTTGTTCTGCCCCATAACTTCACCTCTATTTAAGAAGATGAAAGTAAACATAATTTTGGTTCCTCTAATTTTTTAAAAGAAAGAGTTTTAAAACACTCTGCTTACTCTATTTTTATACACCTTAGAGGTGCCTGCTCTCATACCACCCTTGGAGAACCAATACCACATGAAGATTGCTGGCTTCTGACTTTCAGACAAGAGGTTTTACAGTCCATGACGTCCATTCACAGATTTGTTCATTAAAACGGTATTTGTATTGTTTTGTACTGGTTTATTCCCCTCAAGGACAGGTTGCTCATGCTCCCTCACACAGCCATTCCCAGCTGAGCTCTGAAACACAGGGCAACAAGCTCTTGTGGCTGGTAGTCACACCAGTGGCCACCCAGCCCTAAAAATCATAGCTCTGAATGCAATGTGTTTTGCCTCCCTTAACTGACCCACTCTGTTACCAGCTGTGGGTATTTGCTCACATGGTTAAGCTATAACAAACTACAAAGAGAGGAATAAATCCTTTTGACAGAAATTCTCAGTTCAAGCAATTTCACCAAGGATATATTGGAGTGACACTGAAGTGCAGCACAATGGCCAGCACCACTGTGGGGGAAGACAGCTAGAGCTGCAGACCACCAGCTTTTTGTAAGCTCGTACTGCCTTTCATAAAGCATATGATGGCTTGCCTTTATGGGATCAAACTTAATAACAATTTTCCCTCTACATGGAAGAGAGAGACTACATTAAACACTCATCTGTACATCTATCCCTAGCCTGTCCTTCATAGTCCAGCATCTTCTTACCAAAGTCCAAGCTTGTATCCTCAACTGCACGGGCAAGGAATAGATCTTACATGATGCTGCCCTGAGCTCCTTGAAATGGCAGCCACCACTGTCTGACTTGATCATAAGTCATACATCAGTTGATGTGTCCACAGGAGAACCAGAGACGACCAATAAAGGAGAGGCCAGGAAACACGTAGTTCTCAATGTCAAACACAGGTTTATCTGGACTGCAGTGATCAACTGATCCAAATTTATAGCTAGTGGGTCTTCACTGACCCATATCAGTCAAATCCCAACTTTCATAAGCAGGCCTATAACTGTGCCGGTGGGTGACCAGAACTTCACAGTCCATCAAACCCTCCAGATGCAGGGGAAGAGAGAGCCTGGCCAACACTGAAGAGGAGGAATAATGGACGAATGGAAAAAGAACAGTTCTAAACATTTGGGGAAGACATTTATGCTTCAGCAGGTGTACTGCTTTGACATGACATAAGATCAGGTGAGCTCATATTTACAGCTCATGGCAAGATGAAGGAGCCCTAGAACTCCTCATCACAATCCACAAGACACCAAGCCTGAAGGAACAATTCAGTTGAGACATCAGCTCTTTCAGATAAAATGCAGCTTACTCAACTAATCAGAGAGTTTTTCCCCAAACACAGTGAGCAAGGCTTAATTAGGAACATAATGTCATGTGTGAAGGACATTTTGTTAAAAATACACTGCATGTTCTGGAGAACTCTAGTTTTTTCCTATGATGTGACATATAATGGGCACTGAACCAAAACACCACAGAAGTATGTGGTTTATGCTATCTCACTGGACTACCAAACAAGATTTAACATTCAGAAAGTATTGCAGATATATAGTAGAGGATCTCTAAATATTCCTTTGCAGTATTGCCACAGTAATTGCTTTTCTTCCATGTTACTACAGCCACTTAAAAGCCTTTATAGAGAGCTAGCAACACAAGCATTTTTAACCTCATTTGGAAAATATGTACAACTTTTTTGTTACTTCTCCTTCCCTGTCTTCTAATCTAGATTCCATAGTGTGCCCAGTTTTCCATTTTCTTAGCAGCATCCATTACAAGCAACTCTATTTAAGTCAATAAAATTGCTCCTTCTTGGAGAAGGAATCAGTCCTCTGCAAAAAAACACTCTAACAGGTAATTTTCTGCTGACAGCTCTTACCATAAAACAGGTTACAGAAATTACTTTTTATCTAACACTGAAAGTAAACAATTAATGCAAACTGCACAATGTTTTTAAAGACAGTATGTTCACTACCTATGCCCTTTATATGTATATCTTAGTAAGCAAACAGTTAAGTAAGACTACCATCAAGCCTATTCATCAGGCAGCTGAACACCTCTATTTATTTGTGAGTTATTTTACCTTTTGTTCCCCCCTTGGAAAGCGTGTGGAATCTAGGAGACGTTTTCACGCATCATTTCTTGCGGGAGAATGTCAAGTCACCTTTTATGCCCTCAGGCAAATGTCTCCGACCTGATCTCAGTAACTCTCTGTATCAAAATTGTTTTTCATACCTTGTGTAAGCAGCTGGAGGTTTCGGACTTCTTCTCTCACCTTCAGCTGAAGGACTTGCTGCAGAATGTGCTGTCGCAGGCTTTCCTGGGCAATGCCCATTCGTTCAAGCTTTTTGTCAGTAAGTCTCAGCAAAGCACGGCCTGGGTGCAAAAAAGACAATGAAAAAATCACCCAGGGATTTCCATTAATGCAATAGTCTCACTCTGACAGTGTAATTTGCTACAGAAAAGATTCTCAGCCCTGAAGTATCTCAGTTTGAGGAGATACTGTTTCATCAGTGAGGTACTTCCTTACTGGTAGAGATCTGTGCACCACTCCTGCCTTTTCTTTTGATCTTCTGTATTGTTTTGGTGGTTTTTGAGAGATATAGGCATTTAAAATAGGTATCTTGTGCCATTTGGGACAACCATTTGCTGTTCTTTAGTGTCAGCTGGCTTTCCATAGGCAGGATATCCCCTGTAAGTCTACAATTGACACAGGTGCCCAAGAAGACTCTCATCTCTATTCACTTATCCGTATTACTGTCAAGAAACCAGTAACAGTGGACTTTACAAATTAAATCAATTTAAGATATACTAAGGATGAACATTGTTGCAATTCAGATATATCGAATATATCAGCGTAACAACACCATTTCCCCATATGATTCTGTATTGTATGGTTCAGCCTTCCCAGTATCTCTCAACAGTAAACTATCACAACAAAACAATAAAAAGCCAGAGATTTCTAGCAATTATATCTGAATCATTCCTGAAAAATATTTTGTCCAACTATAAAAAGACATCTGCTCAACTATAAGGAGCCTTTGCAGGCAATCACTCCCAGTTTGTGAGTTATCTTTACTATGAGGTTAATGTTGAACCAGAGTCCAAAGCAGATTGTAGATGTTAAAAAATCAAACAATCTACATTCCCCAGATTCTGCTAGTGGAACTCTGACTCCATCTTTTGGGCATCACTATGCTGTAAATAAACAGGAGAAGACTGTACACTGGCTGAGCCAACACTAAGGAAGTATTTAGACCAAGCAGAGAAATAAAGCATCAAGCAGAGCTTTACCCTAGGAAGAAAACTAAAACTTACTTTCTTTGGCCTTCATCACTGTACCACTTCACCAAGAGAGAAGTTTCTCAGCAGCCCTCCACTGACTCTTGATTCCCAATATTTACATTTGTTATCTAAAGGTGCCCTGGCCAATGCCAACAAATCAAATTGGAGCTACATTGATACTACTTTGAAAATGACATGTTGTTTGGTACACTTTTTAAAACAAATTCAACTTTTTATCTCCTCTAGTTCCTTTTAATTGTTAAAAATTTCTTCTTTGATTTCTCAGGCTTTATTCTGAAACCAGAAGAAGATAGCAAAGAGTAAGTTATTCCCTCTGCAACACAACAGTCTCTGTGCTACCATTACTGTGGCTTTTGGATGAACGGTACAATTTAGCTCATTAGAAAGTTTTACTCAACACAGCAAGATAAGGACCTTATTCAATCTCTTTCCTTACGAAACAGCAATGAGTACAGAATTTTTATAATTATTTTAATTAAAAAATTTAAGATAAATGCTAAGGTTTTAAAGGGGTGCATAATTTTTGCCCCAAACCAAGCAGTTAAGTGTATGCCCTTCACTAACTGCTAGATTTCGCTCACAAGAAGTTCTCTGAAGTGTTTAGTAAAATCTTGATACAATGCAATGTAAAATACTAGAATATTACTATTAATAAAGCAAGATGTTATTGATCAGATAAAAATGACAGTGTTCATAGATCTTCTGCCCTTCTGTGTCTCTCAAGCACCACATACTACAGAGGATGACCTTTTGATGAGGAAAACTTTCTTTGAAATCATAAACAAGAAGAATTCTAAGGGTTAATGTAATAACAAATAAGGAAATTAGTCTCTTATAGATCAATGCCAGCTGTCCAATTCCCCTGGTGATAAAGGCAGCAATAATTACTTCAATTTTTATTTGTCTTATCTCACTAAAACATCTTAAAGCAATTTATAAACGATGTACAACAGTTCAGGAGTATGGTCTGTAATGTCAATCTAGCAACTGAAAGCAAATAAAAAACCAAGTCATCAATTTAAAGAGTGGCAACACACATGTCATCTTAGGGCAGGGAGTCAGCAACAGTAATATGAAAGGACAGACAGAGGCCATGCATCTTATCCAATGCCTTCCACCTCTTTTTGGCCATGGATAGTCATTACTCTTTCCTTCCTCTGGGCAACTCTCTATTTCATATTTAAATTGGTTTTCTACCCCAGTCACTGCCTTTGGAAGTTGAGTGTGCACAAAACAGAGACGTCTATTTTCAACTCTTGGCATGCCAGTTTCTCTGCAGCTTAGGCTCAAAGCACAATGCCGCTGGAAAAAACTGTCTTTGACTCATACTATCTGCAGCAGCTTGCACAAGTTGCCTTAAGTTAACTCTTTCTTGCACCAAATCCAAAGTGACATGTTGAGGCAGTGATGAGGCAAGAAAGCAAACATCCAAATGTGGCATTTCAAGAATGCAGTAAGTATCTGAAGCGTGAAAACTCAATACTCCCCTTACCTTCTTTCCCCTCAGCACTGAGAACAACCACCACCATGCCAGAACTGAAATAATTTTTCATTCTGATAGTAGATCACGTTCTTTGAACAGATACTGCTAATGCCTGGGTCAGTCACCAAAGCCAATTAGTTACCGAGGCCAAGATCCTGATAATCAGCTAATGATTTTGGATGCATCACTGTCTTGTTTCCTGTACTGTACATATCTGCAAGAGTTATCATTTGGTGCTAAGAACTCTGTGTTATTGAACACTGAAACCAATTGTCCAGAGAATTTGTAGAATCTCTGTCCTTGGAAGCATTCAAAACCTGTCTGACAAGGTCCTGTGCTGTACTTGCCCCTGATTGGAGTAGGGGGTTGGATTAGATGATTGCCAGAGGTGCCTTCCAACATCATCTGTCCTGTGAAATAACCTGCATGAAGGATCTCAATCTAAAGATCTATTTTCTTTGAAAAAGCTAAGATTAACAAAGGAAATAAATAAAAATACATAAAGATGGTCATTTTGTCAAGCATCATGGTTAAAATGAGAGAGACAGCTATACAGTAAAAAATCAGGGTAGATATTTAATTTTCAGAAAGTGCTGGATAGAATATATTGTCAAGAGCAGATCATGTGACAAAAGTAATATTTTCTAAGAGTGTACACTGGTCTTTGCTCTGACAGAAGTAGAAGGAACTTGACTACCATCTCAGGAAAATTTCCCAGTACTACAAAACTGGCACTACCTCTTAGGTGTAGCAGCTACCTGCCTAACAGAGAACAGGACATTTTTTTTCAAAAGCCCCTTGACCAACAGAACCATAAAAACTGCAGTGGCAAACACCTAGGCCTTGGCTCTAGCTAGTTGCAAGGCTGGAAATCAAATGTTTTACATAACCCCCACAACTCCCTCAGTATCTGTACACATCTTTTAGCACATAAACCCCAGCCCTCTCATACTCAGGGCAGATCAGCTGTGGAATGTTTGGAGATACCCCAGAGGCAGACACGAAATATAAAACACTTTCCAGCTTAATAATGGATTGATGGCCTAATTTTTTCTAATATGACTTAGCTGCTGCAGATCTCATTTGATCAAGCTGGCACTAGATGAAAATTTGAATGGAGGGAGAAACACTGCATGCCACAGAAGATTAGCATGAATATAAGCACTGGTCCAATGAGGCTGGCACTGGCCCTAGAGCAAGGAACATGGCACAGTCTGCTGTACCTAATCATAAATGCTCACACCTTCCTGCACTGGTATAGCCTGTTGCTCTTCACTCAGCTGCCAGTTCACAGACACACGGAGGGACACCTCGCAAGAAGCCTTGAAAGAACACTTGTGATGCGGGAGAATGGACAGGTAAGAAATGACTTACTAAACATGTAGAAAGAACCAAAGGAACACAGGGAAATGAGAGCACATAGTTAGTCAGAGGCTGATCTCACACAAAACACTGAAGAAAACTATGAGTAACTTAAAGTTGATGAAAATGATAAACCACTAGTGGGAACAAATGATGTGTGTACAGCATGGACAAGAAAGGTGATCTTGTGTCCTGAATACAATTATGACAGGTATACCTGATTAGCAAGACAAGATGTTCGGTTTACTTACCATGGGGTTCAGAACCCAGGAAATGAAGAACACAGTAGAGATTCCAAGGACACTAAAAAAGGCCCTAATGCCAGACCAACAGCTCACCCAGCCCTGTGTTCACAGTGTCAGTAGGAGATGCATTCTGGGAGAGCTGCTGGGAGGGCTACTTTCTGAAGTCATTGCCTTTGTACCACAGCAACATCCAGAACTGTTATACTAGGGTTATTAGAGAGGACACAATTTTAACACCTACTTATTGTCCTGATGTCCCTAAATTTCTTTTTTTTTGATCTTCCTGATACTGTCTGCTTCTGTAGCCCCTTGGGATGGTAAATTCCAGAAGCTCATTGCCCTTTTTTGTCTGTCTTATATTGATTTCCTACTAATTGTTTCCAGTGTTTGCTAGGTCTTGCATTGTAGGTTTTGGTTAACAATTCAACATACACCTGCTGATTCTATTATCTGTAAACTTCAGTCATATGCCTTTTGGTTGTATTTCTGATGGATTCAGCTGACAAACCTAGAAAACCTGAAAAAATAGGAACGTAAGATTCCCTAAACACCTAAATTATGCAAGATGAAAACTTTTATCTTTTATACTTAAATGCTGCAAGTGCCATTTTATTCTCAGTTAATGGATAACAGTGTGCTTGTCTGGTTTTTCAAACATGTTGCTTTTGTGTTTACTTGAAATAGTCTGATAACAGCTTTCCTCTTGCTTATATAGCCTGAATGTTGGCTTCTCTTGACTTCAGTGCTTAAAAACAAGCCTTGCTGGACACATCAAGTAAGACATTTCCATGACAGAGACACAGACATTACTATCACCATTCAGGTGCTGGTGAGACACAAGGATAAAACTCTCATAACATACTCAGGAAAGAACACAATCAAGAATGGGCAGAGAGAGAGGCTATGACTTCACAGTGAGGAACGACAAAATTACGAGAGGAGGTAAGAAAAAGAACAGTCACCTACAGAATGTTAATGGC